CATGCGCGTTTTACCCATATTCTATCGCGATATTTCATTTTCTTATCATTGCCCGACATTACACCGGTATTACCGTGAACGGTATGATATGGCCCAGCCCTAATCCAGGTCATGGTAATCTAAGGAGCTTGGAAAAAAAAAAGCGACTCGACTTTTAAGTAATGATGGAGACTCCCAGCTATCATGTGATCAATAGAAATGTCTTCAAGAAACTTAAAGAGGTCCAGAGCCTACAGAACCTACATAAGTGGCCTCCACCATTGCTGGCATTGATGCTTGTGCTAGTGCACAATATGTGTATAAATTACCTTGTGGTTGTGTCCCAATTCTAAATTTCTTTTTTACTGTGGTCATTTAAAAAAAACAACAACATATTTGTCCCTTAAGTTTTAACACTTCTTTGAACATTCCTTCACATCCATTCAAATAGTTTCAGCAATTCATCCACCAGGAATTTACTGTCATCTGTGATTCCTTGTATTGATGCTAAGATTATGATTGATGCTACAATTATTGTTATTATTGTAGCTTCATTTCTAGAGAAGCACGTGTGGTTATGGCGTAGGTTACACTGTAGTGTTTCAGAGGGGTTTGTGGTTACAGCTATGATGTAGACTTTCTGGAGAAACTGGCTGCGATTGAGTTGTTAAAGAGGAAATTCAAAGACTTGTACAGCTATGTGATTAACTTTTGATTGTCAAACCTGTCCCCTAATTTTCTTCTGAGTAAGAAAAAATGCATCTGATGCTTGTGATTTATTGTTCCACTCCCTGCTGCTGTATGTAAAATATTTTAATGGCAGGAAAATAGTTTCCAGCCACATAACTGAGGTCAGAGGTGATGTGTTAATGCTTTTTTTCCCTCGCCCCCTGCAGGACCCTATTAGGGGCCGACCGAAAGAGATCCCACACAACGAGAAGCTGCTGTCACTTAAATATGAGGTAAAACTGCTGTTAACCAATCAGAATCCTGTGTTTCAGATAAGTCTTGAATAAGCTGGATTACACTTGGTTACTTGGGTGTTTTTAAGCCTGTA